CCCAGAAAAAGAATCAAAAAAGATTTGTTTTTTATATTGTTTAGTATAAGAGGCAAATGAATGCATGCAATGAATAGGAGAGGCAAATGAATGCATCCTTATTTCTGGAATAGAAGTAGAGGACTACTCAAATGAGGTTCAGCTGAGACTTCAAAATTTTTTAAACCATAGAACAGAAAGAATGACAAAAAAAATGAAAAGTTGTCAATACAAGGTTCTCCGTATTTAAACTCTGTTTTATTCAAAATTGGCTCAAATTATTTTTTATCTCTAACATTTTATCAGAAAATATAGTTAAAGATTCTTTGGAGAAATATGAAATTATTGCGTTTGTCTCTTTATTTAAATGTACATAAAAACACGACTGCGCACTTTGTCTACATTATAATGTACATAATTTGCGCAGTAACGTTTTTCTTTACATTTAAATGTAAACGTAATGCATTACTGTATGCATTGGAGTCAACGACAGATTGAGGAATTTTTGGTCTGGCAAAGATAACCCTCCCGACCAATACCTTCCAAAAAAAATATCCTAGAATGTTGGCCATGCCATTAAAAAGATATAATGCTAAAAATTGTACCTTGACTCTGGTCCGGAGGATGGACATCCCACATGTCCCCTTGGATCCTTTACTGGTTGGAGTTCAAAATCTTTGCCGTGGTCTAAATGATCTAAATTTATTTTAAACAATATGAACTTAATATATAAATTTAAACGATCGTAAAAATGAACTTTTTAATACTCTGGGCACACTTTTTATTAGAGAGTTGTACTCTATAAAACATACGACCAATTAATGCACCAACACCGGTATTCATCCAGTACCGATACCGAAATTTCAAGTACCGAAATACCGGTAATAGGGTATATACCAGTATTTAGGTTTTTGGATATATAACAAGTATTTTTATTATTTTCTTTATTTTAAGACATTTCCTTTTTAAAAACAAGTTTTAATCACTATTTGAGACAATTCTTTTTTTACTTTAAATAAAAGGCATAAGCTATGCTGTAACGGAGCAACGGTATGCTGCATAAAGTTTTATAAACGTTCAATAAGAATTTTGAATTATAACCTAATAAACAATATTTTATTCTTAATGGATTTATATTACTTTAAAATCCAAAAGCACATGTTCCAAAAAGTATTCAAACAGTTCTGCACCGGCGCAGAAAATTCTGTGTATGGTAGATTAGAGTATTATGAGCACCTTAAGCAAAAATTAAATTAATTTTAAAAGAAAACTATGCAGGATTCATAATTTTGGGAATAAACTATTATTAGTAATTCATGATCCACATAAATATTTGGGCACCCGAATTGTTTCTTAAAAACAAAGAGGATTTTAAAAAGTAGCAAAATTGCTATTACCCAAACCACATAGTAATATGAGCACTTTAAATTAGCTCAAAAAAATAAAAATAGTAAAGTAAAAAAAAATATTATCCTGACAATTAAAACTAATTTGTGGAATATAATGATTCGATATTAACAAAACTTATCATTAAAAGATCAAACTTTTTATTGAAACACTACTACTTTGTTATACGCAACAACAATAAAAAAAATTAGTTCATTATCTTTTCAACTTTATTAACTCAAACTTTTTAAAGATAAAACAACAAATTTTTTGAATTTAAATTACACAAATATTTTTAGCATTGTAAAAATATTAAACTTTTTACAATGTTTTGTTTTTATTCAAAAAGAAATTAAAATCAATGCAATTTTACGACTTAAAAAAACAAGGTAATTTCAATGAAAAACACTGGGTAATTTGAGCATGCTCAAATGGTATCTTTAATTTAAAGTTTAAATAAAGTCAAAACTAAATGTTTCTATGCATTGTTTTTCAAGCAAAAATAAAACTGATTTCTAGCTAACATATTTTTCTTTATGAAAAATTAAATTTTATTACTTTAGCATCAAAGTTTCGCGCCAAAGCTTTATTCATGCATGATAATAATATTTCAAAAACGCAAAAAATTTAATAGCGTTTTTATTAAATGAGAGCCGCTAATTACTTCATATAAATTTACGCTAACTATACTAATTTCTGTTATTATCACATAAAGTTGATTCAAAAATTCAAAGCAACTTTAATTTCACTGCTTACATCTTAGAAATCTTTTAGTATGCTCGTATTACCCTAATCTATCCTTATTTTGTTTCCTGGGTGATAATGAAAATCAGTTTGTAAAGTGTAATAAATGTGACCAAGAGATAAAAGAGTGGCAGTACTAATAAAATTGACTTACTAAAGAGATAACTGTCCCAATATACAGCATTGTCATTGGATTTGTTTTCATTGGTTCCGTTGCCATTGGCCAAAAAATCAAAACCTCTGATTACTAATTTCTTCCAAAATCAAGAAAACAATTTGCTGCCTTTACTTTTTTTTAGATTGAACCCCCTTGTTGTCGACGATTTAAAATACGCAAATGGTAGTCAAATACGCAAACTCAATCAGAATGCAAAGAATATAATTAAGTTTGACATTTCATGAGTGGAATTCAATTTAAAACTGCAGATATTAAAATGTAACCGTTCACATCCGGGATGAATTTTGGAGTCTTAAATTGGCTAGGGTTGTTGGTTCACTCCATGCAGAAAAAATTCAGTGAGTTAATACAAAAAGGGTTGATGCAGTTAATACTGAATTACGTTAAAAACATATGTATGCATTACCATTGATGGAGCTTTCGTAATGCAGAAAGTGTTGCATTTAAGCAACTATAATTAACAGTTTTGCATTGTGCATAGCATTTTACGTGTACAAGACGTTTTGTACAATAAGAATCATCTACAGCCAATAAAAGCTTGAAAGAAATCTGCGATAACAAAAATAGCTGTGAAAGTGACAACAATGATGACAAAGATAAGAGCTCTGATGACGCAAACATAACCAATGATGATGAAGAAGACTTTTTTGGCGTGTTTTAAGTAGCGATAAGTAAAAAGTAAGACATTATTGAACTGAATGATGATTTTCAGCTATTAATCGCTAAGGTGCGCGCTAATGTGAAATTGTTTTGCTGTTCTCCAACATAAAACATTCAAACGTAAAAACTTTGATAAAGCTCATTAACTAATGTGGCAGGTCTCGCCCCAATTGGAGACACAGAGTAAGTTTTTAAATTGAAAGCTATGTTAGTGGAACAACTAAAAATGTAAGAGCAACGTTTTTTAGCTTGCTGCACTATTTGAACAAGGATCATCAATGTCGATATAGAAAATGATACCAGTGTTGGATTCACTACTATTTATTGATTCAACAGAAATCTAAAAGACAATCAAAGACTATTTTGTATTTGGTTGTCTGTAAAACATGGGGATGTTCATAGGATCAAAATTGAAGGTATAAAAATAGCCTTTCATTCCTATACAAAATCTTTTCTTTTTAAAACTTAAAAATACTTTTATCCGTCTCAACAATGATGCGTTGTACAACACAAAACTTAAAAAGTTACTGAAGTCAAAGTAAAAAAGCAACTATACTTTAAACACTTACGATTCGGAAAACGCTGAAAACAGAAAAATCTTACGATTTCAAGAAACACTACTAAATAACGATAATAATAAAATGAGTGAGTGGAATATATTATTTTTTCACCCGATATTTATTTCTAAGCATGTTCAAGCTTATGTCAACTGAAAATGTTTTGCAAGTAATCGGGGTGATTGGAGCTTGGAAGCATAAGTCAAAAAAAAAAAATCTCAAAAGGTTTGCTGCAACAACCTCAAAAAGGAGGGCAATCAGTTAATAAATTGTACTTTTTTAGCATATTATACTAAACTTAAATTCAACTAAATTTCTTTAATTTCATTCAATAATCTTTTAACGTTCAAAAGTAATAGTCATGTATAATTTACGCCCTCCCCAAAATGAAAAATGGGGTTGTAAGTTTCACATGGTCATAAATTTTTAACACTATAAGATTATTAGTTAAAGTTAAAAACCTGTCAACAAACTTTAGTTTAGTACAATATAATAAAATAGTATATCTTACAAAGCTTATTGCCCTCACATTTGGGGTAGAGGAGCAAACATTTTTGGTTATTTTGTTTCAAGGCTTTAAGCAGTGCAGTTTTTTGTGCTAACCTTGAAACAAAACACTCCCATTAACCTGGATAAATAAACGTTCTCATTTGACATATGCATGAACAAACTTAAGTATGTTCATGCATATGTCGAATGGCATTCATGAAACATCAAAAAATTCTACCTAAATTTTAACCCTAAAAAAACATAAGCATACTCTGCAGCCACAATCTCATTCTAGGATAGATCACTTTTATGTAAGTAAAAAATTTAGACGAAATTTAGAAACTTTTTAAGAACCAGTAGGTGGTACTTGCTCTAGTAGAAACAGGCTGGAGAAGAATGAAGAAAAGAAAAGTATAATTGAAAAAAAATGATTTTTAAAAGTTTAAAGTTTATTGATATAAAGTAATGGTGATCAAAACAATATGTAATGGAAACTAATTCAAATAAGGGAGAAATAATAAGCAACTCTAAAGATATTCTGTTAGTAGGGGTAGAGGAGAGGGTAATGAAAAGTTTCGAAATAATAAACAATGGGAAAGGGGGTAATGTGATCAAAAACAATGTCAATTTAAAAAAACTGTTTTACGCTACCTATGAGCATATTTGAAAAAATCGCTCAAAATTAAAAATAACACCACAAAAAATAATCCCATAAAAAATTGATGGTAAAAACGCATTTTTTATTTTATGCTAAGTAGAAAGGGGGTAACAAACTGATATCATATTTAAGGGTGGGGGTAGCCAAAAATTGACAGTTTGACAAAGGGGGAGAGGGGATAGAAGAACCAGGAAAAAATACTGACACCATTTATAGACCTTAACAGCTTTTTGAATTTTACGGATATAGAAAATTGATAAAATGTATTATAAAATAAACATTTTTTGCCCTTAGGGTATACACGTTAACTGCAAATGACTAAAAAAAAAAACAATATATTACTTTTTAGCTTTGAACATTTTCCCTACCCCTGGCCCTCAGTGTAACGCTGATACTGTTTAGATACAACGTGCCAACAATAAGTTCTTGTTGAAATTGGATGGACAACAAAGATGGCGCTCGAAGTTGAATCGGCTGAGTATGTTTTATAATGAAACTTTAACTTTTCTTTAAATCAGTTTATATTAGTAAATGATGTTGTGGGCCTAATATCATTTACTAATTTACATCAGCCTTTTTTTAGTGTTATAAGATTAATTCAACAGTATTTAAAAGAAAGCAACTTAAGAAGAACACTCCAGACACTTCAGGTAAAATATTTCAACGTGATAACATTTTACACCACTTCAATTTTATCTCTGACTTGATGAATTTTTATTCTTTTAAAATGCTTAAAAATTTGTAAATAGTTTTCTAAAAATTCAATGTGACAAACATTTATGTTGTAATTGTTGATATATACCCACTGTAATTCTACAATGGCATAGTCGTAATTAACCCATCATACGACTACATTGTACGATCACATTATATACAATGTTTTCTATATTATCAATGTATTTAATTTAATAATTTTTTAATTAAGTTAAAAATTATTAAACCAGGGTTGTCTATTTTCCCGATTTGACTAGAATTTTCTTTATGGATTTTTTGAGGTGTACATTATTAAATATTATTATTATTTTATTATTTTATGTAAATGTTTACAAATAGGGTGTCACTGAAACTTTTAAAACATAAATAAAACCTACTTTGGATAAAGGTGTTTAGCGATAATCATAACTGAATTTCAATAATTTAATCTTTTAGCAAATCAAAATGCCAATACTAACTTTACCAATATCAGTGCCATCAAAATTTGTTTGGTGGCACTGATATCGGTAAAGTTAAATAAATCATTAAAGGCGCAGTAATGTTTATCAGATGTTAGTTCCCATTTTAAAATTACTTCCAATAATTTTTTCATATCAAAACATTTGTTTACTTCTTCCACCATGTTCAAGCCTTTCCAGGAAACGCATGCATTTTTTTGTCTTGTATGTCCACAATAAGTATTTTATTTTAGACAACTTGGTCACTGTCGTTTGCAAGTTTTGGAGAAAACTAAGTTTCAAAAACGAAGAAAGCAAAACTTAAACTATAGGAACTTAAAATAAATTTAAATAGAAAAAATACTAAAGCATTAATAGTTTGTGTACAATTTCAGCTTAAAATCTTTTGTGGTTCATGAGATATGATCATTTGAAATTTCTAATTTTTCAAAAATAAAAACTTTAGTAGCAAAAAGATGTATTGTCCATACTTTGAAGCTCTATTTTTTAAAAACAGAATTTTAGAAAACTTAGTTTTTTTTATTGTATACAACTCTAGACTTACTTTAATAAAACTTTGAAATTGAATTTTTGAATGTCACATTTTATCCATAATTGCTTCCTAAAAAACCTGAAAAATCATTTGTAAATATATAAAAAATTTGATTTTAATGGGTCAATATACAACATCTGCAATTTAAAAAATTTTAGTTTTTATAAATGGTAAGCTTCTTAATTTTTAAAAATTTACTGATAAGTTAAAATTCAGTAAAAAGTTATAAACACTAAAAATGGCTCCGGCTAAAACTTAAGAAATTGTGCCTTCACTTCAAACTACTAGTAACCTTGGATCAGCTCTGATTTTAATAAGATTTATTTTTTCATACTGATTTAATAGAATTTATTTCTGTGATTTCAGGAAAATAAAAAGTGTTATCATGTGGAAGTTACAAAATCGGAACAATGAAATTTATACAAAACACATTAAAAGCAATAAAAATAGAGTTATTGATGTACTTTAGTTTATATTATATATGTCAAAGTATTTCATAATCAGTACTAGAAAAAAAGTCTCAAATTAAACCTGAGATATACTCAGTTTTTAAATTGTCCTAGCCCCCTCCTCCACCCTCCTCCACCCTTTATCTATTTACATTTTAACATGGAGATTTTTGCCCAGAAAAAATTATAATTAAACATTTCTTCTTACACAGTGTGTCTTGTTTTATGAATGAAGTAGTTTGTTTGAGAATGTTTGTGCTCAAGCACACTACTAAATATATTTAAAAGCTGTGACATAAAAGACAAGCAAGTTATTGAGTGTTCATTTTATATCTGTATTTTATATTTAAAATTTATCATTTTGTATTTATTTATTGTACCAAAACTCATGGAAACCTAAGTTTATATTTCAAAACTTGTATTTATATATATCTTTTTAGATAGTAATTAACAATAAATGGCAAGTGCAAAGTATCTAAATACTTTGTTTGATAAACACAGCACAGAAGAAATCACCTTTAATCAGTGGCAAAAAGCCAACAAAAAACATGATATAGTTCCAGTAACTCTTCCAGTGGATGATATTATCAGTAAATAGACCAATTATGAGACCCTCACAATATAGCAAAAAATCAGTCAGCATATTTGCAGCACCTATACACAATATTACCAAGTAATCACATTTTAGTCTTATTAGACTTAGCTGAAAATTTATAGTTTTTTAATTCAAGATGCAGTACAAGGTTTTCATTTGAACAACAGTCAAGCAACATTGCATCCTTTTGATTTACTATATGGGATAAAAACAATAAAATGTAAAAGTGTTTGTATCATCTCAGATAATTTGCAACATAATACTAACTTAGTTCATTGTTTCATTTATGAAGTAATAAAAGATTTAATGCCTTACTTTAACCATTGCATTTTTTTAGTGATGGTGCAGGTTCATAATAAAGAAAATATAAAAAATTATTCTAACTAATGTCACCATGAGCAAGATTTAAAGTATCAGCCGAATGGCATTTTTTTGCTACATCACATGGAAAGAGTGCTTGTGATGGCATTGGAAGCTCTATCAAAAGTCTTTTACCAAGGGCCAATTTACAATCACTAATAGATCCTATCATCTCACTTGAGAAAATGTATGAATGGTGTAGACAAAGGAATATATTTTCAATACATTTCAAATGATGCAATCGTATTACAGTGCATAAAGTTTAAATTAGAAGAACGTTATACTACTTGTTCAACAATTCCAGTAACAAAAAACCACTATTGTTTTATACCACAATCATTAACTATTTTATAGATAAGCTAGGTGTCATTTGTAGAGATGTGCCGGAACCAGTTTATGCCGAGTCTCCGATTCCGAGTACCCGGCTGAAAAAACTGGGTCCGAGTCCGGGTACTCGGCACCGAGTCCATTTTTAAAAATTTGGAATAAAATCTTGTGAAATCTCTAGCGCTGAACTATTCACACAAAATACGCTTTTTACGCTAACTAACCAAAAGTTATGTGGCGGAAGTACCATTTAGCAAAGCCCCGCAATACAGGCTAAGGGGCCTGAGTTGTAGGGCCTAACTTTTTTCAAAAGTTGTGCAACAGTTTTTTAATAACTATATTTAGTTTAAAATTATTTTTCTTTCCTGGTGGAGTGGGCCTAAATAATATTTTGTTATACTTATTATCGAAATTAAAATATAAAAAATGTGTATAATATTTACCTTATATCTCTACTTTTATGATTTTTGATCGATACGAATGAAAAGTGATTTCAGCGTTCGAAAGCATTATAAGCGTTTCATTCAAAACTAAATTGCTAAAAACTGTCTTGTGTTCTTACAGAATAAAAAGAAGCTATTCTAAAACTTTTTTTCCCATTCTTTTTATTCGTATTCTCGAATTATTTCACTTAGCGTTACAGTTTTTGTATCCGTATAAATTTTTTTGCAAAATTGTATTAAAAAATATTTTAAGTGAGATTGTTTTAAGTTAATAGAACTTTGTGGTTATCGACTACATAACATTTTTAGACTTATATCGAGAAGTTTAATGGTTAAAGTTTAAATTTAAGGAATAATCAATTTGAAGATACCCGGTACCGGGTACTGCAACAAAATGGCCGATACCGGGTACCCGGTAAAACAGCCGAATTGCTGGGTCCCCGGGTCCGAACCGGGTACCCGGCACATCACTAGTCATTTGACAATACGCATATTCATGTAAATGTTTCTACAATACAGCATAGGCTTTTATTTCACCAAGAATTAATGAAGCATGTATTTATAATGCAAAATGGTTTATAATGAAGCATGTATTTATAATGAAGCATGTATTTATAATGCAAAATGGTTTATAATTGCAAAAATATCTGAAAAAAATCCAGATAGTCTTAACAAGTTTATGTGTTTAATGAAATAGACTGCTTAGTCTATTTCTTTAAACACTTTCACTGGGCCACATAAAGGAGATATTTGCTTGGTTCCAATAACACACATTTTATGAAAAATTTTATCTTTTAGAATTCAATCAACAACTGGTCAGTGCTGTGAACTATCAGCTTAAGAAGAAACTGAAATATTATACTTGCACAATAGCATAAATAACTTAATTAAATAACAACAAAGAAAAATTATTTTAAATTTGATTCATTTGTTTTAAATTTCTAAAATTATTTAGCAAAAATTGATTTTAAAGATTTGATGTTTATATTGATTGTTTATTACATAATAATATTTTTTATTACGTAATCAACTTGAGCATTGTGTTGACAAGTCAAATAACTCTTATAACTTGTTATATAAGTTGTAATCTAAATTTACACACGATAATCAATATTGATTCAAGTCGAGGAAAAAAGCAGATAAGAGTATAACAAAAATAAAAACATTTTTGTTATACAATTTTTTCAGACAGTATTTTAGGTATATACTTTTTATTTGTGCTAGAAACATTGACAATTTTTAAATTTGTTTTTCAAATGTTTTTGCTAAACTTAATTGTTTTTATAAACCACAGGAAAGCAAGAAAACAAGTTTTTTTTTTTTTTTTTTTTTTTTTTTTTTTTTTTTTTTTTTTTTTTTTTTTTTAAACAAGTTCATGTACAAAAATAAAATTTGTACTTATATTTAAATATAAAAAATTTGGTTATTTTCACTACCCCTATTGAAATAATTTGCAGTTTATTTGCAAATTATTTCAATAAGGGTAGTGAAAACAACTATTTCAATATCCAAATTGTGCATTTAAAGCCATTAGTTTATTTCCTGATGAACTATCGTATCGTATAAACTTTTTAAAACAAATTTTTAGAAGCCTATTCAAAACATTTTTTTTAAGTTTTTAAAAAAATATTTTCAAACAGAGCAATTGTTATGTTCATTATCTCTAGTAATTCGTATTAATGTTGGAGATTGGGCAGTATAACAGAAACAATTTTAGGCATACATCAAATGCAGTAAATACATTTGTAAAAGAAACCATTTTATTTCTTTCC